CTCGGAATTAAAAAGTTTCTGTAGAAATTAATCTTAACCCATTCCCTGCCATGATCCCCATATGGGGATCGCCTACATTTGTATACATTGTGACGTCATGTTGCACCTGGGTGGTCCCTTACGGGTGGTCATGCTTTCCTGAAGATTGCAACTAAAGGTAGAAATCTTAAACAAACACGTGGACTCAGTTGAGCTCACGAGTTTATTTTTCTTGCTCTCTCATTACTTTTCACGAATACTACTCAAATAATACGGTTATTTTCAAAGCACAAAAAAGTTACTTAAGAAACAATTATTTTGTTCTACTGAATTTCCCTTGATCACTGGTAAGTAATTAATGTATTTATATATTATTTATCCTCATACTGTAATTTGGATGGGTACAATGAACCTAGATATATCGATCCCTGTTTGGGGATCATGGCTGATACTGACTAAAATTGTAAAAAAAACTGTTTTTCTTTTTTTCCAGGAAATGTCGCGTAAAAGATATCTTTCTTTAAAAGAAATTGTAAATTCTGATGATTTTTTTGCATCTGACGATAATAGCCCCATAGATATTGTTGAAATTCCACCAGAGCGGGTTGATGAGATTTCAGATAATGAGGACATGGATGACAACGTAATTGATGATGAAGAACCACTTGATGTTCCCGGGTGTGTTGAAATTCACCGTGTGGCAGGATTTGAGGAAAATGTTTTAGTGAATGCAACTGAATCTTCAGCAAATGAAGTAACAAAAGGTACTGACTTACCACCTGCTAAAAAGAGAAAAGAAGTATTGACTTCCAATTGGAAAAAGAAGCAACCTAAGTACTCGAAACTATATGAAAATTCTGACGTTATAGAGAAAAGGCAAAATGATGTCATTAGAAAACTCAAGGAAAATCCCCGGTAGAGTGTTTTGAAGTACGTTTTGATAATGAAACTGTCACCTATATTGTCCAGCAGTCTGTAATATACGCCAGACAGAAAAACAATCACCAATTTCAGCTTTCTGATAACTGCCTAAAAAAATTATTGGAATACTTCTTTTCACTGGCTATCATTCACTTCTGCAAGAACAATTATATTGATGTGAAGACGAAGACATGAACATTCTGTGTGTTAGAGCATGCATGAGTCGGAATAGGTAACTGGAAATTAAACGCTACCTACATATCGGTGACAACTCCGATTTAGAAAGGATTCCACTAGGTGAACGTGTTAACCTCTTCAAGATTCGGCCATTGATTGACAAGTTGAATGACAAATTTCAACAATTTCGGGTGTTTTCAGAAAGTTTGAGTATTGACGAACAAATGGTTCGTTACTATGGACATCACTACCTCAAACAATTTATACGTGGTAAGCCAGTGCGGTTTGGGTTCAAACAATGGGCTATCTGTTGTTCACAAACTGGATATTGTTATCAGACTCAAGTGTATGAAGGCAAATCAAAGAAATTAGAAGATGATGAAAGCATCAGTGGGCTTGGGACATATGTTGTCCTTCAGATGGTATCTATTCTTCAGACACCAAATGCTCATAAAGTTTACTTCGACAATTTTTTCACAGGATTTTCTCTGATGAAAAATTTGCAGGACATTGACATTAGAGCAACAGGAACTGTTCGATTCAAGAGAATGAACAAATGCCCTATTGCAACAGACAAAGAGATAAGGAAAAAAGAACGTGGGCATATGACTACAGATTTGATTCCCGAAATGAAATTTTAGCTATCACGTGGAATGACAACAGTTGTGTAAGGCTTCTGTCTAATCACCAAACTATCGAACCAATATCAGAGGTGAAGCGATGGCGTAGAACAGAGAAGAAAGATATTCAAGTACCACAACCCAAACTGATATTAGAATATAACGAATACATGGGTGGAGTAGACAAGATGGATTGGAATGTTCAAAAATACAGAATCAGAATAAGGGGGGAAAAAATGGTGTTTTCCTTTGCCTACTAATGCCATCGGCGTAACACTGGTTAACGCCCACGCACTGTATTGTATTTCAAATGATAAAATTCCATTGCTAGATTTTAGGAGGATGGTTGCTAGAGGATATCTTGCTTTATCTTCAGAACTCTCAGATGCAAAAAAGAATGGAAGGAATTCTTTCACTAAAGCATCAATTAATCGTGTTCCTACTGTTATCAGAACATCTGGTAATCATTATATTGAACGGACCGAAAATGGTAAACAAAAGAAAATGTGCAGTGTGCAAAACAAATGCAAGAAAACAATGTGGAAAATGTACTGTTGGATTACACGTAGACTGTTTTGAACGCTGACATTAAAAGTAGATAGTATCAGCCATGATCCCCATTTGGGGATCGGACATAAATTTAAAATTTCTGAAAAAAAAATTGACGCATTTATGAGAAAAACATATTTTTCTTATTATTTAGATGTAAACTAACAGAAATAAAATAAAAATTTGGCAGTTAATTGGTTAAAGTCGCCAAATTTAGAACCGTTTAATAAAAGAATTCACATCCCCAAAAGCGAAAAGTTGTTTAAGAGCTGTTTACTAGAAAAAATTAATTTCGAAATGCTTATGTTTCGCTTAGAAGTTCTAGTACCCCATCATTTATATTAGGAATAGAAACAAATTATAACTCATGAACCCATTCAAAAGATAACCATATATACGGCAGTGAATCGCCAAAAATATTCTTCAAAATGCTAATTTACACTCAAAATGGCAGTCATAAAAACAGCCAGAAATTTCAGATGATTAAAATTAAGGACCTTCTGCTGATTTTGTTCAAAATTAAGGACTTTTAAGGACCAAAAATCGATTCCAAAAAATCTAAGGACCGTACAAACCCTGAATTTTGCTTTTGCTAAGAGCTGTTTCGTAAATTATGCTTTATAGCATTATACCTTGTTTATTTTTCAGATTTAAAATATTGTATAATTAGTTGCCAAAATTAAACATTATAATATGACAGAGGAAAAATAAAAATGTTTTATTTTAATGTTATTTTTTAAATATAATTTCAATATATTACCATTATTTTAATGAAGTTTATCAATGTTATTATGTTTAAAAAAAAATCGTCGAAAAATTCTCAGATCTTGGAATTAAAAAGTTTCCACAGAAACTGATCTTAAAATCGCCAAATTTACAACCATTTAATAAAAGAATTCACATCCCCAAAAGCGAAAAGTTTTTAAGAGCTCTTTACTAGAAAAAATTAATTTTGAAATGCTTATGTTTCACTTCTTGCTTAGAAACTCAAGTATCCCGTCATTTATATTAGAAATAGAAACAAATTATAACCCATGAAACCATTCAAAAGATAACCATATACGTCAGTGAATAGCCAAAAATATTCCTCCAAAATGCTAATTCACACTCAAAATGGCAGTCGTAAAAAACAGACAGAAATTTCAGATGATTAAAATTAAGGATCTTCTGCTGATTTTGGCCAAAATTAAGGACCAAAAATCGATTCCAAAAAATTTAAGGACTCTTAAGGACCGTACGAACCACGAATTATGTATAATGAACACTATTAAGCTAGGCTAAAATAATCTTTACTGATTCTAAGGCATTTCAGTTATGTAGCGGACTGCGCTGCTCTACAATCTTTAAGTTTGATTCAGCTTATTATTTTTTGAAGACTTTTATTATTACGGCAATTTTATAAAAACTAAGCTTTTGATTATGTCGAAAAGAGTTCCCAGCTCTGGAGCTGCCTAAGGATCTACAAAGCGAAACCATGTTTTGATGTCCATTAAACAAAAAGTGAAATTGCTGCAAAAAATTGATAAAGGCATATCTGTCTCAAAATTATGCGAGGAGTATGTCATTGGAAAGTCAACTTTACAGTACACTCCCGATTATCTGCGGAATTGGGTGGCGCGGCTGCCGCGGATAACAAAAAACACAGATAATCCGAAAAAAAACTAAAAACGGGTATAGCAAATAAGAAAACAGTCATTCAAACTTTGAAAAATAATTTTATGTACAATAAAACGTAAAATAAACAACAGGAAATGTTTAACTAACGCTTATAATTTAGCTTATTACGCTTAATGTATTCTCCCCACGAAGTCCAATTTTTTTTAATTCCATGTCGCTGCTTAAAACGTGTCAACCAGCCAGAAGACACATCAAAATTTCCTTTCAGGCCTAACAACGCAAAAAAGGTTTTTGTCTTTGCTGCAATGATAGGACCATTTACAGGAGTACCTTCTTTTCGAACTTGAGCTAACCACTCTGTCAATGCCATGTCTAGCTCATCAAAGGTAGTTTTTTGCGTTTTCATTGCGGAAGCACTGTTGTTTCCGATATTCCGTAATCCAATTCCATCTGCTGCCTTGTAGCGCCGTTTGCTACTTTGGAAATTAATTCTAGTTTTTGCGCAATCGTCAACACAACCTTCTTTCGTTTCCCTGACATTTTAAATCGGTAACGAAAAACACAATAAAAGATAAGAAATTAACTCCGACCGGTTCGCAAACACTATCAGGCTTAAGCTAACAATGGCGAGTTGGAAGAAATGGACGTGTCAGTAAGATTAAGACGAGAGAAGGCGGTGAAGCGGGAACTGCAAGGGTCAGTAAGAAATCACTTACTCATCAGAGAAGGTTCCGAGAAAGCCTAGGATATTTTTGCCATAAATAAACACAATGTTAGCAAATTTAACGTTTCTCTCAGTTTTGTAAACATTTTTAGTCGAGAGTCTACTGTATATGACATAAGAAAAAAGAAAAACAAACTTTTTTAATTTTTTGTGGAAGCAACTTAAACAACTTACATTGAAAGAAATGTTTAATAAAGTAAACAAATAAATATTAAGCTTTTTTTTAAAATTTTGATACACTTTACATCATAATTGTTCTTTATTTCATAAATTACGATTTCATATGTTTAATTGTATAATTCCTGCATACCATCTTACCAAATTTAAATTGATGATCTAATATACGGAAAAATCCCAAATCCGGAATTGCCAAGTCCCAACGAGTCCGGATTTTGGACTTTGTACTGTAATACAAACTATCATATAATGCAACTGAATAATATTCTTTTTTGAGCATTTTCTTCCAATTTCCAACCTTTCCATTTATAAATATTGACTGGATTCAGCAAAAATAACCTAAACTGAACAAAGACAGTATAATGGTCTTTTCAAGCATAATACAATTAAAAGCTTTGTATTTGTGCAAAAAATAAAGCATCGTTAAATTGATCCAGTGATTTTCCTTTATTTTTCACTGATTTGTACATAGAAAGAAACAACTGAAACAGGAAAAAACAAGCAGATGCTATTTGAGAAAAAAATTTGTTTGAATCTTTCAAAGCACACAACAGCAAATTGCCTAAGGGAGCAATGCTTTTGTTTAGGACTTTCTAAGAGATACCAGTTTGTACATATGCTATTCTAGAAAACTTTTACTGTCAACTTTTTCAAAATTTTGCATAAAAATTGTAATTTAATTTTTCTCATACAATTAATGAGGGTCAATATACTGAAGAACATACCCAAATAATCCATATAATTTTTTAGATGCAAACTGGATAATCAGTTACACTTTCTCCCTTCTATAAATAGAACCCCTGTCTTCTTATTCATATTTAAAGGATTTAAAAAATTCAGAAGTCTTTCAAGATTAGAATTTAAATTCAAGGAAATCCAGGAGCTCTTCCAATTCTTATTTTTTCCCAATACAGGTAAAGAACTGTATATATTTGCAGCACTGTTAGCAAACTTTGAGATACATCATCAGTACATTGTAATGGTATGTACGCTATGTTCCTGTAAAAATTAATATACAAATTAACAACATTGCAAAATGGGTTATAGTCAGAATGAAATTTTACCCTTATCCCCTTCCTAATATTGACTTTATCATGAAAATTCTGAATCGGACATTAAAAACAAAGTTTCAAGAATGTAACTGAATGGTAAAACAGATGGGATGATAAGCCATGCAAAGGAATATTCACATCAATATTCATGCTAAAATTTTTTACAGGAAATATTTTCAGAGAGATATCAAGATTTTACTAACATTTTCAAATATATTACAGAATATTTAATATTGTACATGTCATTATTACAGGTTTATAGGTGAATGTGACTAACATTCTTCTGGAATCCACTCTGCTTCAAAGCGTACAAAAAGATTATCATTTGATGATGCTAAGAAAATTTTAAATTCAGGCTAAACAGGAAAATGTAGCTAAATAGCACAAATAAATATCATGAATGCTGCATATTAATAAAAGAGTGAATAATTCTGCTATTTGTATTTAATTTTTTCTTCATTTTCAATTTTTTTTCTCTTATGCAGTTTTCATAGGTCATGCCACATCTTTCATTATAAGCCTGTTTGATATTGGAACAGCTGAGTTCCAGATTAGAAGGTGTTTCCATAAATTTTTCAATCAAGTCTTGATAAATGCAATTGTGCGTCACACAATGCACCACAGGTCAGGGGTTTGATCCCTGGGCTGGGCAAAGTTGACTCAGCCTTGCATCCCTTAAGTGGGTCGATAAAATTAGTACCAAGTTCGCTTGGGGACTAAACACCGGAGGTCCTGCGACAAGCTGACCACTTGCCCAGGCCATATGCCATTGCATTCTGGGGCCCAAAGGTCAACAAAGCAAAAAAGAGCACTGAAGGCCGTGGCCCACCAGGGCTATTGCACCACTGAGTTTAGTTTTTTGATAGATGCACTTTGCAAACCATATATGAAGTCTTAAATTAATTCTTGGTAACCTTAATAGATATATGCATTTACATTACCATATTTGACGGCATATAATACGCACCCTTATTTAGATGGCCACACACAAGGGAAAAAAAGTTTCAATAGCGTGGTTTCTTTTAGTTCTCATATTTCGTAAAAGCCAAATAAACAATTATTGAATGCAATTACCTTCACGTATAAGACACAGGTAACTTTTTTGAGACCAAATTTAGGAAAAAAAGTGCGTCTTATATGCCGTCAAATACGGTATTTGCAGACGAAAGCAAATGTCCATTTGAATGATAAATGTTTGAATTGAGTCTGCAGGTATCTGAGATACTGTGAGTGAAAATTTTCGTGACTCCTATGGAATTTTACAGAGCTTTGAATGAAGATTACAGTAATCAAGCAGTGGATCGTAGTAGTCTTCCAATTTTTATGAAGAATCCGTCAAACGTACAAGTTGACCGAAAGTCAGGAAAACCAGAAATATTAAGAGATGCAGGAATAATGATACTTGTAATAGGCTAGAAAGGAAGAAGCTAATTAAGCAAGAATATAGCAAAGAATATAGCTTGAATATAGCAAAGCTCTTGACAGCTATCTGCTGAAAGACTTTCTAAAGGAAATTAGCTACTATCAAAACCGTGAAAAACAACCTTATATTTAGCGTAGGTATAATGAAACACTCAATCGATTTCGAGGGCAGCTAAAGGTCCCTCCTCATCAGGACAAAGAAATACATAGAAAGAAGAAAATAGTTTCTATGTATTTCTTTGTCCTGATGAGGAGGGACCTTTAGCTGCCCTCGAAATCGATTGAGTGTTTCATTATACCTACGCTAAATATAAGGTTGTTTTTCACGGTTTTGATTGTCACATTAGCGTGTTTCTCTTCTAGTGTAAATTAGCTACTATTCAAGTTACACATGTGAAAAATTATAAACGCCAACTATGTAGCCAGCCCATTCATTTGAGATTGAAGTCTCAATATTCAGCAGTCTTAATCACTTGGCCATTGATCATTGAGCAACATGTGAAGAAATATCTCTCAATTTGTAATGATTTCAGTGTCACCAGTATCACTATACTGTATTTAAAAAAAATTCCTATCTTTGATGGTTTCCTGCCGAGATAGGAGACCACATATGATTTTAAGGCGAAAATGTCTGAAATAAAAGTAAACAGGAGAAGAAAACCAATTTAGAATGCATTATTTTTTAAATTCACCTTAGTGTATATATTTGGTGCTGTTCCACTGGCTATTGCCTTGTCTACAAATAAGAATGCTATTAGAGTAATTCAGAGAAGCAGAGTTATTTTCCATTTTGTTTGTTATACTGACAATTAGTGAACAGTGGACAGTTTGAAATCAATTAAATTGTTATGCACATAATACAAATTATACAATTAAATTAGTAATTAATAAAGAAGCATATTATTGCATTTTTCTATTTGAAAATACATTTCAAAAATAAAACTACTGCTTGTTGCAGACAAGTCATATTTAACGGATGAAAGTTCCTCATGTAGTTTACAAACTACAGTTTGGCCCTGCCTGCCATAAAATCAAATAAACAAACTTCGTAATACACCACTTAGATATTTAAAATACAATAATTAGACATTAAATGCTAGCAGAAAGATAAAAACAAATATTTATCTAATAAACATTAACCAAGTCTTTACAAAGCTCTAATGAATTCAAATGGCTAAAACTGAACAAAAATTAATCAAAAAATTTTTCTGAAAATTACCTGGAAAATTTTAAATTGCACATCCCAAGTTTCATTTAGAAATTATAATGCCACTGTCTTAGCCCTTTTCTACGATTTGCCACCAAAACACTTTTTATGATATTTTTTCCCTTTAATTAACAATTCTTCAACAATTACATTCGAAGAAAATGATCTAAATTCAGAACACCTAAAAAATCTGGAGATTTACTGTGAGACAGGAGAAAAACTAAGAATCTTTCAAGAAAATCAGGAGTGTTGCGAGGTATATATCTTACAAAATGAAAAATCATAACAAGTATAAAAGAGACTCTTCATTTCTAGTCTATTAACTCAAAATTAATTAATAGGAAAAAGCAACCTTAGACTGACATATTATTATTATTTTTTATAACAGAACCACCAGTTTCAAAGGCAATCTGACAAAGGTCCCTCTACATTATGAAATGATTTTTCACTTATTAGCAGAAAAATTTTGCTATTTAAAAGAGTTTGAAATGTTAATCTTTGATATTTATTACAACAAACATTTTTCACCTCATATTTAACAAATAAACAGTTCAACAAATAAATAAATAAATTATTCTAATTATTTCTATTTCCTTTATTCACTCCAAATATTTACCTTTAATATTATATTAATAATACACGGATTACCACAACCCATTTAAAACTAATTTTAGATTTATGTTTATGAGATGAACAGTAGAATATTTCAACAATATGAACTGTTAGACTTACAGTATTAAAATTCAGTTTTAAGGAATAAAATACGTACCATAACAGAAGCTTCTTAAAAATTTCTTCGTAATTTACTAGAAGGGAAAAAAAAAAAGTCACTTAAAATGAAAATTAAAAAACACCTCAGAAGACAAAAAGTTTCACATTAGAATACTTACTAGTTCAAGGCATACCATTTGTTTATCAATGAAAATTACGAGGTTTGCATTTTTTTCCCTGCCGGAAAGCTAAAGAAATTGATAATGCTGCTTCCAATTCAAAATATTGAGCAAGTAAGAAAGGAGCGTTTAGTGTTAATTGCGGAAAATTATTTTGAGAGTAAATTGTTACTATTAACAGAATGAAAATTTTAAAAAATATTTTCTGGAAAAGTATTTTTACTAGAAAAATATTTTCTGCCCTAATGAAAAAGTTATGTCAAATGTAAAATTTGAATGATTGATTTTTTAAAATCTGTTGTTTAATTACACCATATTATGATTATTTTACATACTAAATAAATTTTTGTTCTTCCTATTCTTTTTAAAACTGGAGATATAATCATTTCATTTTTTAGGAAGTACAATTAAATTGGGGGGGGGAAGAGTTTAAGCAATCAAAAACGATGCAAAGAAAAAATTTAACATTAATTTCGAACTATAGGAAATAACATTCAGTAAAATTTATCAAATGGCATCTTCCATGAGATATAGAGGGAACTTCCCACCAACTGATAAAACTGAAACAGAACAGAGAATGGCGTAGAAGTAAGAAGTTGCATAACAACATAAAGCTGGAATAATAAAACAATGGATTTAAAAATAAGAACTTTCATTAATGCAACATTCATGAATCCTGTATATACATTCATATCCCTGTTTTCGTCTATGTGTGTATCAACTTTTAAAGCCTTCATTTACTTTTAAAGCCTGAATTTGTTGACCCCTAGATGTCAACAAGAGTGAAGCATTCATTCTTTTACATGTGTTTTAAAAAGTGGGGATTCCATAACAGAGTGGCCTAGTTTGGAATGGGCCTTGAGCAAAAGGACAGTCTACAATAACTAATATGGAATACTGAATTTAAGATTATGACATTGAAATGGTTTTTATACTCTTCTACTTTTGACTCATTTGTTTTTATACTGTTATTTGTAAAATCTGTAAAATTCCTTTGCCTGCATTATTAATCAAAATGAGTACTCTAAAGAGTTTTGAATCTACAAGTACTAATCCTGCAAGATCTGTTAAACTTTTGCATCAAACTGCATTTGGAACTCGAGCAGCGTTGCCATTCAAACAGGAGAAAGAAATTCCCTGACTTTTCCAGGTTTTCCAGGTGTGTTTCAAGAAAATTCCAGTCTATCCGCGTAATGTACGCTGGCTGTGCTAAGAGGTAAATTAATTATGGTATTACTTGTATTGTGTAGCAAATTAATTATTCAATAAATCCCAGAGGACATTTATTCCTAATTATTCTTGGTATACTTTGATAATTTTGCTTACTTAAATCACTTAAGAAACTTAATAAAATTTAAGATACATACATTGGATAACAAATGTGTGTTTTATTTAATTATTACTCATGATCATCACCAGTTCAACATGAGGCTAATAATAATATGCATAATTAACATATAACAATAAAAAATTGAGCTCACAAAGCCAGGTAACATAGGACATGGTACGGCCAATTGTAATGAAAGAGGGAGGTGCACAAGTACATGTTATAACAGTCCCATATCCAAAATATCAGCATTTTTGAGTTACATGATATACGTACGTGCATATGTAGACATCAAGGGGGGGATCTCTTCTGAATCCATTTTACAATCCCTTTTAGAAGGAAAAAAAAAGGGAGTCTTCTATTCTGTCCGTATGTACAGATGTCAAGCAAAACATTATTTAAATGGATTCGAAAGTGGCCAAAATGGATATTTTTGTACAAGGAAGTAAAAATTATATGATTTGAATGAATGCATGTGGAACATATTTTTGATTTAACCAATAATGATTATTTAAAGTAAAGAAAAAGACTTATTTTTAAATAAGCTACGGATTAATAAATGAAACAAAACTAATCAAATCAAAAGTATAATTATTATTACAAGAATGAAATTACTTTTGAAAGACTTAAAAATAAAATTTTATAGCTTAAAATAGTTACTTACACATTTAGACGTGGTTCTTTGTATGAAATAGGCTTAGCTCGTCGTGATCTTTGAGACATATCATCTGTACTATTAGATGGCTTATCTGCAGTATTGAAAAATAAAGTAATTTATTAAATATACTGATATATTAGTCCTAATTAGTATTAACTTTGATGCTAATGTACTCTGTAGTTCAATATTCATATATAATAAAGATTGATTTTATGGTGCAAAAACTGATTTCTGTTAATTATGTTTCACATGCAAAATGAAATTTTAAAATATCAGAAACAAATAACCAGAACACAGAATACCTGTCATTCAAAATGAAATCACAGCATAGATATAGACAAGAAATTAAAAAGATATAATACTTAGACTTCTCAAGTTGCATTCATACAACACAAATAAATGATATCAAAATACATGATTCTAAATCTAAAAATCCAAGGATTTAGCATCAATTTTTAGATTTACAAGATTACTTCCAGTATTTTTAAATCAGTTTGTAATACTTATATACACGGTTGGAAAGAATTAACTCTATCCACGATTGTTTATTAATTTTTAAAAAATTAACGAATTTTCATAAAACAAAAAACATTTTATTCCTTTTAGTGGTATAATTATTATGATATCTCATTCATGTTACTGCAGGTATCAGTGCCGCACAAAGGCACAATGTCTAACCTTGTAGGAATGGGTTCAACTAGCATCCCAGTTCGGACTATGTGTCAGGTTAAATCATTTTTATGAGACTCTCGTCTTTGTGAGTTTTGAGGACTTCGAGTGAACATTTCCTGAATCACATGCACATTTTCCTTCATTTCTAGAAACTGAGGGACAACCGTGTCTCCTAACATCTGAGACAGAACCTATGTTCATTAGCTTTGAATGGCAATTCCTTATGTACTTTGTACCTACCAAGGAATGGGGTCATTCATGCTTCACCACTATCTCTGTATACTGCAAATTGCCATACTTCCTACTGGAATGCTAGCTGAGCCCACTCACGTAAGGTTAGAAGCTACACCGATACTTGCAGTGGTATAAATAAGATTTTCCATAATAAATTCTATGGCTGTAAGGAACAAAATGTCCCCCTTTCCCCACGAAAATATAAACAATTTTCGATAAGGAGTTAATTTTCGCCTACTCTATACATCTACATATATAATTAAAAACAAATATACAATTAAAATTATTTCAATAAAGATATGAAATTTAATGAATATAATCATTATGAGAAAACATTTACTATATACCGTATTTGACGGCATATAAGATGCACCCTTATTTAGACGGCCACACACAAGGAAAAAAAAGTTTCAATAGTGTGGTTTCTTTTAGTTCTCACGTTTCGTAAAAGCCAAATAAACAATTATTGAATGCAATTATCTTCACGTATAAGACGCAGGTAACTTTTTTGAGACCAAATTTAGAAAAAAAAAAGTGCGTCTTATATGCCGTCAAATACAGTACTTAAAATGGTAAAATATACCCCATTTTAGGAAATATCACATATCACATTGTATATTTTACCATGTGTTGTTTCCTAAAAGATACAAAATTTTTGTCTTTTTAGAAGCTTAGTGTGGGCTGGACCTCAAATTATTTAAAGTTACTGAATTTTTAAAATATTATAATCTAAAATTGTTAAAATAAGCTATTAAAATGTATTAAAAAATGCTGGAGAGAGTAAAACACAGCAGTACAGAACACTCCATTCTTTCTACGCAAGCACATGCTGTGGAATAAACTATGTGACCAATCCAAAGGCAAAAAAAGTGAACCTTATGATTTCTGTTCAGATTCAAATTTTGATTCTGGGTTCGATATGTCTCGGCTAATTGCTCATCTGAATTCCCTAGATCTGTTTTTTAATGACTCAACTATTTATGACAGAAATTGTCTGGTTTGTGATCTTGGTAGACTTATATTAACAACAGCACAGTTAAGTCATTCCTTCATTTTTTATGAATTCAGATATTCAATAGTGAAAAATACTGTAACTTCATGAACTCAAAATATTTATTTCTGAAATGCATTTTTCTTTAATAAATAAAAACCAGGAGAGATGATTGAAAGCTTTGATTTGGAAATACATTGCTAAGTGTGTTAAAGAGTAACCTTTATGAAGATCACTCTAGTCGATGTGTGGCTGTACGTATAACGTTTAAGACACCCTCCTTTTTTTTTTTCCCCAAACACAGTTCTTATTTATCACACAAGTTGTGTGAACAAGCAGTCAGGCACCTGAAAATTTTATTCGACAGGGTTTGTACACATTTTTGCACACGGAAATTAAGTACTTTTTTAAGGACCATTAATGAAAAAAATTAAGGACCTACGAGCAAATGGGACCTGAATAAATTCAATTGAAGATATTATCTATGCCTGAATTTCACTTTTGTAATAGCATCCTAAAAATAAAATAGATCACTAAGTATTATTACTAAGCATTGTAACTAAACATGAATTAATTAACATAATTATTATAATTTGAGAATAAAATAAACTTTATGCAATTTATCAAGTAACATTAAATATTTTACACTTATAATAGTTGGTCATATTTGAAAGAAGATAAGTGACATTTATGTTTTACTAACAGTTATCTTTATGATTTTTTTATGTCTCATTTTTGTTACATACTTGGTCAATCTAAAGTTTTAGTAAATAAGCAGGTAGATTTTATGTCAAACTGCATAGTTTAAAATGAGAAATAAGAACAAAATCAGCATGATTCATAACAAAAGACTGAATGTTGTCACCACTGAATGTTCTGGACTGAATGTTCAATTAATGTTGTCACATTAATTGAAGTTTAATTAATTTACTAAATTTTATTTACTAATTTTATTTAGATTAGTAAAGGCTAAAAATTAAAACCAGAAGTTTCGTGACCTAGCCGGAGAATGGGAGATGTGATACAAATCAGGAAGTTTATCAGTAAAACCAGGAGCTGGCAGCTATGGCAATCGGTCAATTATAAGTCCTATGATCTGAATTTCATAGTTCTCTAAAATGTGATTTCTCACTAAGAATAAGAGGTATAGAAAATGGACAGTAGCAAATGAACAAAAATTAAGAACCTCCAACAAATTTTGGGTGAAACTGAGGAATTTAAGAGGGGAAAAAGTAAGGATTTTTAGAACCACACAAACTTGCTAAAGTACATACTGTGGACAGAATATTCAACTAAGCAATTTTCAAACTATAACCAAACCTTGTTAGAAGGTTGTATGGTCATGCTATTTACTAGATCAAATTTTTTTCAGCTCAAACAATTTCTAAATCATTTCCATAGTGCATGTCAATTATTATGTAACTTCTGATATGCTGATTTTGATTATAAGACTACATTCAAATTAGCAGTGGAAACAAAAATCATTTGCTAGAAACACAACAGGTTTCTTTTTCCCTAAAAATTCTTCTAGATTACAGTACATTTTTACCCCAGTGAGAAACCCTTTGGATCAGTCAACCTATATCAATCAAAAAGAGAAATGTGAGCTATTCTGCTTCCTAAGGAAGTATGTATGCAAATCCCATTATGCTTGACTCGAAGTGGGAAAAAAATTATTTCCTAATTTTTCCAGACTCTCAAACAAATTCACAAAGAAGGGTTAGCAAGTTGCAGTTTGAAAAAGGAAACAATTGCAATTGAGTTGTGCCTATCCACTATTGCAGAAACGGACATGCAAGTAGTGTGGGCTCCAACACTGAGCAAGTTCATTTTTCACTCTTTTCTCAAAGAATAGCTCCAAATCTTAAAGCAACAACAGTTAATCTTTTGGAAATGAAACAGCAAATAAACTTTAATGCTTAATGAAAATGGCAACAAAAATACACACTTGAGCCCATTAGATGAAAAAGTTAAAGTAACTGAAAACTAAAAAAATGTGGAATGTCCAAAGCAACAGAAACACAATATCCTAAAGCATCTTTGAATAAAAATTCTCACATGAAAAAGTTCAGCAATTACATATGGAATATAAGTAGAGGATGGTGGTGGTTGCAGACTTTAATGGTGCAATAACCTTACAGGTAAAGAGAATACTCTCATTTAGTATACAGACAGAAATTATTTAAAAAAAAAAAAAAAAAAAAAAAAAAAAAAAACTAATGTAAAAATTGTGTAACAAACAAATGAATAAAACATGAAAGATGAATTCAAGTACAAAATCAAGTAAATTCAAAGTACATTAAAATACTTTAAAGTATTTCGCATATCATTTAAAAATCTTTAAGACAATTCAGATTAGGTAATGAAATTCACCTTATCTTAAATAAACTAATTAACATTGACTTCTTTTCAGACCACACTATCAAGACGTTAAGTAACAGCTATTAAAATACTTTAGTTGAAGTTCTTTAAAATATGAGCATGCTATTAAAAATATGACACACCAATAGATGGGCATTGGAATTTGAGCACAAGGGCTAAATGTTTGCTTTTAGAAAGCATCTATGTGTAACTGGAAAGTGGCTGATTTTAACCCTTTATTTGGCATGCTTGCTCAGAAGCAAAATGTGTTTTCGCTATTTGCCAATTAAAGGGTGAAGGTAGTCTATCTAGTTACTTCCACTAGAGCAGTGGTTCTCAACCTGTTTTGTTCCATGCACCCTTTCAGCATTCAAACCCAAAAAAATATACATTTATATAACTTTAGATTAACGTGATTCATAAATTAAACAAGAGAGTAAAGAAAATCTTGATACAGTCAAAAGTCGTTAATCCGAACTCGTCGGGATTTCGGCGATTCCGGATAATAGATCATCAGTTTAAATCTGGTAAGATGGCATGCAGAAATTACAAAATTAAAAATATGAAACCGTAATTTATGAAATAAAGAACAATTATGATCTGAAGGGTATCAAAATTTACAAAAAGAAAAAGCTTAATATTTATTTATTTACTTTATTAAACATTTCTTTCAATGTAAGTTGTTTAAGTTGCTTCGTTTCATGTGATAATACTTTCTCTTTAATTCTATTAAACAGACATAATTTCTTGTTTAGTAACAAAGTTTCGCTATTAACAGCCTATAATTGCTGTGTCGAGAACACCGACTAATTTGTCAATTGAAATTTTTTTTCGTTTTCAATAACCTCTGTTACTTTCTTCACTATCAGAAGCGAATTATAATGACGAGAAACTTGTTTTAAATCATACCAAAGACGGAGTACATCGAGATGAAATACTACATTTAGTAAGGAATTATAAGCCAAATAAAATAAAAACATCTGCCCTGAAGATAAGGATAGTGCTGACAGATCAACTTCTAATTCATTGCGCACCACGGCGTTCCGCCCGCCAAGTAGCGTGAAATTGATAAACACTTCGAATTTCGAAAACATACTTTCGCTTTAGATCCTTTACATATTAGCAAATATGTATCGGAAATTCTATTTGATATAATCGAAAGTTCAAGCTTACTTTTATAAAATTGCTCTAACAGTTTGCAACAAATAATAAGCCGGATCCAATTCGAAGATTAAGAACAACGCAATTTGCAACATTAACTGAATTAGATAATTTTAGCTTAGCTTATATTGTCCATTATACATTAAACGCACATGCGTAAACGTTTTATGCGCACACGCATATTCGCAGCCATGAAGGTCTTACGAGCACACGTAAACACCTATGCGCATGCGTCAACGCGAGTCATGCGCAGAAAGTTTGCAGCTTTTGAGGTCTGGATTATAGATCATTCCGGATTATGGGTGTCCGAATTAACGACTTTTGACTGTATATATCAAAATTTAAATAAAAGTAGCTTTTTATATTCCTAAACTAAAACTAAATACTTAAACAGCTAAATAAGGGCTAACCGCACCTACTTGAAAATATGAAATCCCTCAATTGCTTTCTTTTTTATTTCATATGGTAATTAGTCGTGGGTTTTTGAGATCGTTACTAAAGGAAAGGTATACTAATTTTTTTCCATTAAGATTAAGGAAATTAAAATTAAAGTAATTGTTTTTGAACAAGACATCATTCCTTCGCAACCATTCTCACAGAGCAAAAAGAATGAAATTATCTGTACCTGAATAATGTACTTTGATTCTTAAAATGTTTACATTTGATTCAGAGAATTTAGCTTTAATATATACATATATAAACTAAATAAATAAATAAAAAAAGAGAGAGAAGAAGGGAAAAAAAATTCCATGGGAATGTAATGACATACCTACTAGATCCAAATCATTTGCAATATATGCAGGTAGGGAGCGACTTTCTTTGTCTTTGACAGCTGTTATGGAATTTTTTTCTAGATCTTTGCATAAATCAACAGCTTGTTTTGATGAGCTTTTCTTGTTTAGGGGCAAAAATTTATTCTCTTTCTCGTAGGTTTCTGCATCACTTTTTGCATCTTTACTTAAAGTTGGTTTTAGTTCAGGATTTACCACATTCAATGTGCATACATTTTCATCATGGAATAAAGCATTTTTTTGTTTATTATTGGACTTTTTGGTCTTAGATTTGGCAGTAGATTTAGATATTTTGGCAAAGCTAGTTCCAATTAAAACAGGTTCAGCTGATACTGGCTTCTCTGATAAATCTTTAAGTAAATTTGCAATGTTATCTTTAAAAAGTGGCTTTTTTTTTTGAAAAGCTGAATTATTTTCTTCCTTGGTTTCATCAACCTTTACTTGTTTATCTGAAATACAGTTTATTGTGGTAGTTAAAACACCTAGGTCGACAAAATCTTTTGCGGCAGATTTACCAAGTTTTACCTTACCAGACCTTTTGGGCGTTTTCCTTGTTGCAGCTTTGATTAATCTTTCATTTGAATCAAGGCTGTCTTGAAATAAATCTAATTTATTTGAGGAATTTGATTTAGTTGCTCCAGTCTCAATATCTGCAACGTCTGTACTTTCACGAGACTGTAATTCTGAGATTAATTTGGACGCTACTTTAACAGGTTTTGCTTCTGAGAGAGGCTTGGAAGTGTCTACTTTCTGGTCAAAATACGTTATATTTTCACATATACTAACACGTTTGGTAGAAATGCTTACCTTTCTGTGATTTGTATTTTTAGTCTTGGTTGTCAGTATACTCTTTCTACCTGAAGATGTTTTTGTCTTATTTTTTTGAGATTGTACATCATCATTATCAAATGCTGAAAATTTACCAGCTGGGTTTTCTATCACTTCTTCTTCTTGTACGTCATGATTTATTTTATCACTGTCATTTTCTGTTTTATTATCCTTTCTATTCTTTTCTTCATCATTTAAAACAAAATCTTCCTCTTCATTCTCTGCTGATGCTGTAAATACAAAGACTTCAGAAGAACTGCGTATTGATATTTTTGCAGGGTTTTTCCATGATATGGTCATCCTACTTTTTCTTTGCTCATTTGAGAGCAATTTTTCCTTAGTTTCCTTTGTATCATTAATTTGAGGTACAGAAACAGTTTCCTGATTATTAGCTACTTCGGAGTGGCAGTTTCTATGTGTTTCTACCATGTTGTGTGTACCATCACTAGAAGAACTTCTGGTTTCAGATGAACCTGAAAAACAAAAAACATCTTTCTCATCAAGCACTAATTTTTTATTTTTTGTTTCGTCATTAGAAGGCATGAGACTTTTCCTTTTCCTATTAATATATTGATGTTTATTTTCACCTGTTAGCACCCTGCTCGGTTGAATATACCATGCTTTTCCTTTTACTGGGTTTTCTGGCTCTTTATTTAATTCTTCATTTGAAGTTATGCTAGTTTCTAAATTGGATGAAAATTCAGAGTATTTTTGAGCAGATTTACTGAGAGATTTTTCAATGTGTGATGTTTCGGAGGTTTTATTTTCACTTTCTATCACTTCCTTTTCCTTAGTTTCCTTTGTATCATTAATTTGAGGTACAGGAACAGTTTTCTGATTATTAGCTACTTCGGAGTGGCAGTTTCTATGAGTTTCTACCATGTTGTGTGTACCATCACTAGAACTTCTGGTTTCAAATGAACCTGAAAAACGAAAAACATCTTTCTCATCAAGCACTAATTTTTTATTTTTTGTTTCGTCATTAGAAGGCATGGGACTTGTCCTTTTCCTAAAAATAAATTGACGTTTATTTTTACCTGTTAGCACCCTTCTCGGTTGAATACACCATGCTTTTCCTTTTACTGGGTTTTCTGGCTCTTTATTTAATTCTTCATTTGAAGTTATGCTAGTTTCTAAATCGGATGAAAATTCAGAGCATTTTTGAGCAGATTTGCTCAGAGATTTTTCAATGTGTGATGTTTCGGAGGTTTTATTTTCACTTTCTATCACTTCCTTTTCCTTAGTTTCCTTTGTATCATTAATTTGAGGTACAGAAACAGTTTCCTGATTATTAGCTACTTCAGATTTTTTAGCAGATTTGCTTAGAGATTTTTCAATGCGTGATGTTTTGGAGGTTTTATTTTCACTTTCTATCGCTTCTTTTGGTAAGATGCATTCTATTCTTTTATCCTTCACTTTTCTGGGTTTCAAAATAAACTCTTCATCTGAAGTTGAATTAGATTCTGAATCAGATGTAAAGTATAAAGAATATTTTTGAGCAGATTTGCATCGTTTTGAAACTCTAGGACCTAAGGGAATAACTGGGGATATTCCCTCATCTAAGGTTTCAGGCATGCAGGTTCTTTCTTCCTCGGATATGAATTTTTCTAGAACGTTTTCTCTTTTATGTTGTAAACCATGATGAGAGTAATCTCTTTCTTCTTTTGAACTTTCAACAAGTGATTTTTTATCACGCAAACTACCAGATTTACTAACATTCGGTTTTTTAGTTTCTGAACACTGAGAATTTTGTAATGCAGCATCTTTTCCTACAATTTGCACCTCAGAATTAAGATCATCTTTTCCTTCTAGGAGTTTTGAAATACTTTCTTTTTTGTACAAAGCAACAGATTTTCGTACTTTTCTTTGTTGAGACAAGCGAGGTTTTGTTGCAGACTCTGCTTGTATAACAGCAATAGGATCTAATGCGCAAATACCACTCAAAAATGTAGTTTCCTTTTCTAGAATTTCAGAAGCAGGCTTCTCAAGTACTTCACTAGAATTACAGTCTTCTAGGTATTTCACTGGTATAGATTTCTTTGTTGCAGACTTTTTCGATTTTCGAGACTGTTTTGCAGATTTTCGAGACTGTTTTGCTTTTGTACTGTGATCTGAAAAAATGCCTTTCTCCAAGTCTTCATTTTCAGTTGGCGCACTTCCATTTTTACATATAAGGCTAGTTTCAAAAGAATTATTTTCTTGGGACACAAATTTATCTGCAGATCTTTCTGATGCACCTATAGGTTGTATTTCGTCACGAAGCAGTATATCTTTATTTGTATCTAGAGTTACAGATGGAGGAGAAATAGAAGTTTCCAAACCATCTACATTATTTTTAGATGGAAATGTATTAGTAAAAGTGATAACTTCAGTCAGTTCCATATCTTCAGGCAGCAAAATTGTATTATTTAAAACGGTAGATTCACAGGTTTTCTTATGAGAAAGATTAGATTCTGCTGGTTTATCAACAGCCTTGGCACTCTGTTCATCAAAAGTAGACAAAACATAAGTACCTCTTCTGTCTACTATATTGTGTTCAGGTGAAGATAAAACATAAGTACCTCTTCTGTCCAATATACTGGAATTTGATGTTTCTGGATGAGCTATTACAAAAGTACCTCTTCTCTGGTTTGAAGAAATACTACTCTCTGGAGCATTCGCTTTACAGGAACTGATAACGAAAGTTTCTCTTCGATCTTCTTTTTCCCTTGGTATTTTAAAATTTTCAGTTAATTTGTTCTTATCTTCTTTAGACTGCATAAAAATCGGTATTTTTGAAGTTTTCAGATTTGTTTCAAAGAAAATGGGTTTCTTAAATAAGTAAGAGTCGTCGCTTTTCAATTTCCTTGGATAATCCTTTAGTAATTCTGCTTTATTAAATCCATTTGAATTTTCAATATTAGCAAAAGCAGACTTTTCACCTTCAGGTGCACATCCTTCAGAACACCTTTTACTTTTCCTACCTATTAAAAAATTATTAATATTATACATGGGCATAAATTTTATATATACACATACAATTTATACATGCACATACAAAGTTACAAAAGAATTAGTGGGGGGAAACCCTTTTTAAGCAACTAAAATCACTTACCAAGAGTTAATAATAATAAAAAAAAAACTAACCCAAATCATAATAATTTAATCTTTAATACTATCATATGGAAAGAGAATCAAGATTAAAGCACATCTGTGAAAAGACAAAAATAATTTACCAAAAATCTGATGTGTACATCACAGGACTTCCTTGTATGGAATATTAAATTATATGCAATTTTCCTGCATTTCAATTAAACTTATTGAATTGAACTGAATCTACTTTGTCGATAGCGCATAAACCACAATAGAATAAATGTGCTTTTTAAAATTCCCTATATTTATTTACAATAGTGATACTCTGGTGCTAGGTTCACTTAACAGTGTTACAGCTCAATCGTTTTATGACTCAGAATGCAAAAAAATTATATCATCTGAAGAATTATCTAATCGTTAGCACATATTCTATTCAAATACTATAATAAATCTAAAATGCTGTATAAAAGAAATTAAGCAAATAAAAAATAAAAAGTTTTTCACAGACGATTCAGCGCTGCTTACCTAACGCGCATGCACTACTTGTAAATATTCTCCTCTGTCCGAAACAGACTGTAAAATTTAAAGATACAGAAAAAATAAAACTCCAATTTCTATGCAAAAACAAGCAATTCGAACAGCGGGCAAGAAGATGGATTTTTCAGTGCACAAAACTGAAAGTTTACTTTTGGTCTTACTCGGCAGAAAGACACTGAAGGCTTTAGCAACTGATTTAATTTGTGTGGATGCTATGCTGAGTCAACATATAGGATAATTTAATAACTTAAATGACAATTCCAGAATGGATTAAGCATAATTTAATTCGCAGTGATAAAAAGATCTTTGTTATTTTTGTTGATGTTATCTTTGTTGTTGCAAAGCTTAGTTTTCCTAGATTGACTACAAATCCACTATTCTGCTAAGTTTTAAATGTAAGCAAATACAGCTGCTATGGTATAAAAATTAAGCTTAGCCGTACTTAAACAACTTTTAAATTGTTGATAATTCTACAACTATAATATGCAGGTTAACTAAAAGCATAAAAAACCTTAACCTGAAGATAAGAACAACATAATTCAATCATTTTTAATGCAAAAAATGCACAATTTACAAACATATAAGAATAAAGAAACTGAGCTCACTGAGTTGAGTAACAGAGTATATATACATATATATATTTATATACTTTTGATGCACTTGATTGCAACCAAAAAGGGAGGTTTACATCTACATGTTATAGCAGTCCCACATACAAAATTTCGACATTCTGAGGCTACTCGTTTTTGAGTTATGCGAGATACGTACGTACGTACAGACTCCATGGGAAAATAATAATAATAATAATAATAATAAACTAACCCAAATGATTCGTTTGGGGAAAAAGAGTCCTTACATACAGATGTCATGCAAAAACATTGTTAAGTTGCATTCAATAGCGATTAAAATGAATATTTTCATTGAAGTATGGTACCCGGAATTTTTTCTGATTACAATACTTCCTTTATTTCGTACAAGGAGGTAAAATTAAATGTACCATTGTGAGTCACCTAGTGTTTATTACAGTTTTAATTTATTGAGATTTTAATAGAGAATTAACTTTTTAATGTTAGCTTTATGTTTTTTCCACATTCAGCATCAACTAATAGTCAGTTAAGAAGCAAAAATAGCAATATTACAGATATAATATAACTCTGAGTGTGACATAGAAGATTATGAAGCTGGATCAAGTGATATAAATAATATATTTTTTAACCATGATGTGGCAGTTGTGAGCATTTCATTTCCACTTTGCTTGAAACCTATATGATCATATAATTAACATACTTAGTTATCTCAAGATAGGAAATATGCATTAGTTTAAATTTTTAAAGATGGCTAACTATGAATTTGCAAGATGAAAGCAGCTGGTCCATTTTAGCCACAATACCATTGATATTATTCATGTTGACAAGCTTCACTTCCACACAGCAATGCATACCACTTGAAATTCACACAGAAAATGACAACTTAGCAGAATGTTTAATGCTAGCAGAATGTTTTGAGCACCTCCAATAATCATTTCAGTGTATGCATTCCACCACAAAATCCACTTACTCCTCTTTCTCTGCATTTACATTTTTACTAGTATTTTTTAAATTATCCTACATTTAAGTCTCTTTATTTTGAAAATTTTCCTGATATATCAGCTAATTTATACTCATTTCTTTTTCTTTAACACCTTTTTGTTTATCTGCCTCAATAAACAAATCAATGTTCTTACTAGTGCCTGCTTTATCTACTAATTTATTAATATCTTCAACTACAGTCAAAAGTCGTTAATTCGGACACCCATAATCTGGAATGATCTATAATCCGGACCTCAAAGCTACAAACTTTCTGCGCATGCATCGCGTTGACGCATGGCTGTGAATATGCATGTGCGCAAAATACGTTTACGAATGCGTGTTTAATGTATAACGGACAGTATAAGCTAAGCTAAAATTATCTAATTCAGTTAATGTTGCAGATTGCGTTGTTGAATTGGATTCGGCTTATTATTTTTTGCAGATTGTTAGAGCAATTTTATAAAAGTAAGCTTGAACTTTCGATTATGTCAAATAGAATTTCTGATATACATTTACTAATATGTAAAGGATCTACAAAGCGAAAGTATGTTTCAAAGTCCATTAAACAAAAAGTGGAATTGCTGCAAAAAATGGATAAAGGCATATCCTTTGTTTATCTTTAACGCCGCGGCACACAATGAATTGAAAGTTGATCTGTCAGCACTATCTTTATCTTCAGGGCAGATGTTTTTATTTTATTTGGCTTATAATTCCTTACTAAATGTAGCATTTCATCTCGATGTACTCCATCTTTGATATGATTTAAATCAAATTCCTTGTCATTATAATTCGCTTCTGATAGCGAAGAAAGTAAGAGAGGTTATTGAAAACGAAAAAATTTCGATTCACAAATTAGTCGGTATTCTCGACACAGCAATTATAGGACTTGAACAGCGGAACTTTGTAACTGAACAAGAAATTATGTCTGTTTATAGAATTAAAGAGAATGTATTATCACATCAAAAACGAAGCAACTTAAGCAACTTATATTGAAAGAAATGTTTAATAAAGTAAACAAATAAATATTAAGCTTTTTTTTTTTTTTTTGTAAATTTTGATACCCTTTAGATCATAATTGTTCTTTATTTCATAAATTACGATTTCATATTTTTAATTTTATAATTTCTGCATGCCATCTTATCAGATTTAAACTGATGATCTATAATCCGGAATCGCCGAAGTCCCGACGAGTCCGGATTAACAACTTTTAACTGTATATCTCTTTGAAGAAAATTTTTCTTTAGTTTTTATGTAATTAATTTCTTCTTCAATAATTTTCTTTTCGTCTTTGAGTTTTCAGACTCGAAGATTTTTATTATTCTTTTAGAATATATTAATCTAATTTCTTTAACAGTATGAATACTAAGAATAACATCAGAAAACTTCATGAAATGATAAATACCCCACTGAGATATATTCCAAATGTTATTCTGTTTTTATGGAATAGTACATAAATACAGAAGATCGTTTGCTTTTATGTAATTTTCTATTTAAATTTATTCTATTTATTATGTAAATTTCTATTTAAATTTTCTCATAAGCATTTTGAGTTAAAGATTTGGCATTTTCAATACCTCAATAATCTTTCAATATTATCTGTTACTGCTTTATTTTGATTAGAATGAAGATTTATTTCAGAAATGGCTCTAAAATTTATAGATGGCTAATAAATGCTCACACAAATGCACTTTACAAAAGGAAAATATTCGTATCAATAAACTGTAAAGTGGTGTAAAAATCAGTCATTGCATTCTTTAAAAAAAAGTTATTTTTAATATATTAAATTTGAAAGAAAAAAAGCATCTAACTGAAATTAAAAATGAAAAAATGGATGCCAAACCACACAGTAAGACTCTTTGAATATGGGTAAATGTCAAGAAAGTGAAGTCTCTGATCCTAAAAGAAAATCCATTGGCACAAACATCCATTGCATTGGAACTGGGAATGTGTTCTGTCTCTAAGTAAAATCTTCCATAAAGATCTGAAGTTCAAAAAGATGTTTAAACCTAAAATTTACCTGCTTTTGCCAAAGCGCGCTGTGGGGAAGAAGAAGAATGGGGAGAAATTAAAAATTATATGAAAAACACCTAGCTGCTGTTGAATGGAAATTTCTAGTAACACTCGATGAAGCATGGGTACATTTAAGTGACTATAATAAAAAAAGATCAACTTTAATTTTATTTATGATACTTGCAGAATTTTGTTACAGTGGTAAATTAAAATAATAATAATAAAAAAAAATGTCAAGTAAGTCTAAAATCAATTCTTGACATTTACCCATATTTGAAGAGTCTTACTGTGTGGTTTGGCATCCTTTTTTTTTTTTTTTCCCCTTCATTTTTTCATTTTTAATTTCAGTCAGATGCTTTTTTTCCTTTCAAATTTACTATCAGTAGAATATTTTAACACTAATTTTTGAAGAAGAAATGCCAGGTAATCTATAAAGGTCTTTGTCTTGCCGAAGCTATACTGTTTTTTAGAAATAACTAATGCCAGTTTTTCCATTTCATAATAAATGTTAATTAATATAAATAATTTGCTATGCCATAATATTTTTTCTGTAGCATCTATTAATTTTTTTATATTAAAAAAATAAGCTGATACCCATGTATATATGTTTACATATATATATTTTTGTCTCATCATAACAATGGGCAAAAGAAAATATGTATTTATTGTAAACCTCTAACTGCAATACAAATTTTTGAAATTATATAATGACAGTAACAATGAATATGTTTATTGCACACTATGTACTGGAGAATTTTCTGTTGCACATTAAACTG